ATTATGCAGTGTGCAGTCAAGAGCTGTCTTTATTTTCATGGGTCCTAATTTGGGCTGGGGGACATGAAGATAATCAAATATGATAATTTCAACCACACACCTCATTACCAATATTGCAATGACATAGGGCTGACTATTGGTGCTCTCACAAAATATTTACACAGTGAGATTTTTGATAAATAATCATCAGTAATGTGGGTATAATGACTAAGTAGATAAATGCAAAAAAAAATAGAAATGCTAGACAGTCTGGTAAGTTAAGAAAATTACATGTATTTACTGTAATGTAGCCTTTAAAACCAGGAGAAGACAACACTTATAATATTACAGGATCCAAAATCTAAGACCACAGTATCAATATAATATCAATATATTGCCCAACCCTAGTTTTAACTGCAAAAAGTTACAAAGTCAAAAGAGTTTCCTCCACATAAAAGCAGTGACAGCTCAGACTTTTCCTGCTGCATTCTGGGCGACACCACACTCTACCATTTTATTTTTCCCCTCCTGTCTTTACACCCAGTTAACCTTAAGTCTCTGCAAGGAGTGAAAAACACAGTGGAACAATCCAGACACATTTGAGAAGTGAAGCTAATGGCGCATCAACAGGTCGAGACTTTGAGCTCACATAATGGTAGTCTTTATTCCACTCAAGCTTGTTTGGCCATTATGGTACAGTTAGTCTAAATAACAGCTGAAGAAATGGCATAATGCCCGCATAGTGTGAAGAAGTGATATCTGCCTATTCATATTTTAATCTCTACGCTTCTGGAAAAAAACAGCCCATACAGTCTGTTGTGGAGGAGATTTATGCTTTTACTGTGTGCAACCAGAATCCACCAATAAGTGTGATTCATATCTCACAGTAGCTTAGTTACTGCAAAATGTAAAATTAAAAAAAAAAACTTACTACCACGACCCTGTGATGTGAATGTTTCTCAATTAACATGCTGATCGTTTGCTCTGAGTTGATGCATTTTAAGGCAACAAGAGCAGGAATTTGTTGTGTTTGTCGCGCCTTTTACTCAGTCAAACAAGGTCTGTGGACATGGTGACTTTCAGGTTACTATTTATTGATGTCAAAATTACAGTATCAGTCACATCATGTTGAAAATGTGGTGTCAATGTTTATTTTTCTGCTGGTTATTTAGAAAATTAAAATATCCTTCAATTTATTTTCCACACAAATTTAATCAGGAAAGCACTTCAATTTTGAACTTTCACAGTCAAATAACAAAAGATTCTTTACTCTTAAATTAAACACAAAACTTAAGTTAATTCAATTCTTAAACTACAGTAAGTAAAAGTAGTACCATACATCATTTCTTGTCTTATATTTTGTCTTGTTATTGTTCCTGTTATTTGTCCACCGGCTTTTTGCCACTGCCTGTTAGACGCAGAACGACTGAGTAAATCAGAAGCTTTGATTTTTCTGCTCACGGTCAGTTAGTGTCTGGAAAACAGCTGTTTACAGAGTTTATATACACTGGGGACTAATAGTTCTCAAGCCTCCAGTGGGCTCTCTGGGGTTTAAATGACAAAATTTTAAAGTGGATATCAAGCTCCCTCTAGTGGACAGTTTCTACATTGTATATGGTTACATGAAAGAAAAAAGTATGCATGCACTGAGCATAACTTTCTCAAGGCAAGTTAAAGAAAAGCTGAAGGAGCAGAGCTTTTTATCACGGGGCAATCTTGGAAACAAATATGTGTGTGTTACAGGATCATCTCTTCATTCGTCAATTGTCACACAGAAAATTTACACAAGGAAATTCACACAAGGCCGCTGAAATGTATCCCTTCAGTCCACACTCCAAATTTGGTCTACACAGGGACTTGAATCGGTGACCCCTCAGTTCCCATACGAAGTTCCCAGCAACTAAGCTACTGTCGCCCAATCTTTTAACTGGCTTTGATTACATTTGTAGAACAATGATGAAGTTCTCTCATTATTCACAGATGTAAGAACTTTGGAGGTCTGACCCCTACAAAGCTACAAAACAAATCTGATGTTGTCCTGTTTTGCATGATTACAACATTTTCTTTGTGTAGGATTCTTGACCTCAGTATTTCTAAAAAAAACTATCTACTGAGGCTATGGTATCTGAGAAATGAGGCACATCTCTACAGAGTTAAGGTTATCACTGTAACCCCATAATGAACCAGAATTCCTGAGGTGCCTGATTACATACATAAATATTTGACCTTTTCCATGGGTTGTATGTTTCAAATCTGTGTATAGAAAGACTGGGGCACAAGATACAGAAGTAGGCAAACAACTGTGTCTTGTCAGGTACAAGATAACTAGTTGTAAATTAATTCTTAATGCGTCATATTAAATGAAAAATGAATATTATATTTAAGAATGTGTTAGAGCTCAAATGTGCATTTACATGTAAGAGAAGTGAAGACAAAATGAGAGGTCAACTGTGACTTGGCGGCACCAGTACCACTGAGTTTCTGTTCATTAGACTGTGCTGCCATCTAGTGGTTAAATTGGGACTTGCACCATTTCTTCATCATGTTTACCAGCATTGTTTCCAACATTAACATGTCAATCCCGAGTCAAATCAATTAATTCTGTCCATTTGTTTTCTTTTTGATCTAAGACTGTATTTACCAATCACCACTGATAAAGGTTTGTATAGTTAGTAGTTAGATAGTAGAAATCTGTAAAAATGCAAGTAGAAAAGACGCAAAAGTCAGTTTGGACTTTCATAGCAAAGTCCATATATTGCGCATGGCTGAACAGAGAAGACCTCCACGATCAGGAAAGCTGACGCAGATAAAATGAACTACATAGCAGATCTGTGCTTGCATTATTAAAAGAAGTCACTTAGTCGCAGCATCATAAAACAGAAGACTAGAGGAAGACAATGAGGCAGTTGGAAGCCATGAAATGATGGTGATATCACACAGAGGAGCATCACAAATACACTTAGTTCAGAGATGAAACATCAAGAAACTGTGAGGCAGAAATGATCAGGAGATGTAGGTTTCAGATAAGAGGTTGCTGTTGTGTTAATTCTCTCTCCTCTCACTTAAATAAATTGCTCTTTTCCCGACAGAGGATGACAGACATGTATGGACAACTTTTTAGCCATTTGTAAAAGCACGTTATTATAATTTAAAGTGGTGCTAGAATAAGAAATAAGGGTTGCAGAGATGCAGCAATTAGTGCAGAAATAAGTGGCCCTTTTGTAACCAGGTTACAACCTCTCCAACATTTCCACCACCAGCTGAACCAGCCATCAAATGAGATCCCAGCTGGCCACATCATCAAACATGTTCTAATAAACACTTATTTTGCAACAAACATCAAACTGAACTCATTTAAGTGAGCCATTTCCTTAGCTGACGTATTCGCAATGATTCAGAAAACAATCAATGTAACTTGTGTGTTCAGAGGCATCAAACACAAAAAAACTAAAGAAGATTGCAATTCCACCTCACAGTCTTTGAGTAGAAAGTACCAAGGTTTTTGAAAGAGCAACTGACAGCAACACACAGATTTAATGATTTATCAGGCATAGATACTGAAAATGACGAGGCTATAATTCAAGCCTTTTTTGATGAGTTCTAGAACATCACCTTCAGATCTTCACAGAATAAGGTAAGCAACTTCAAACAATTGATGTAACTGACCAAATTGTACAGTTGTGACAATTGTGCACTTGCGACAGTAACCAGTCCATTGTTGGTGCCATGTTAAGATGACCATGGACGGCTCTGGAGTGAATGAACAAGGACAAGGAGTGGAGTTTGTTACAGTAAAAACAGCACAGTAGTTTGCAGCATACATCAGAAAAGCAGCTCTATTTCTACTTGAGTTATAAGTCTGTAATATTGGTGCTGTAAATTTGGTTAAGTTTGTACATTTATTCACCATTGGCTTAGATTTGTCTTTCTACCCTTTATAAATGTGAATTGTCCAAAGCAAACATCTCTTACTCGTCCATGCAGTGCAGATATTTTTTGTTTTATTAAATCCAAACGTGACATTTCTTGTTTAGTAAGTATTTTGTTGTGGTCTCTCCCTCTTATCTTTCCCATTCACCAGGCTGTGACTATCCTGAGAAAGGTAGGTAGGTAATAATGTTATCTTGCAGGACAGTTGAAAGATATCATAGCTCCAGGTATCATCCCATCGCTTCTTATTCCTTGTTTATTGACTCAGAGTTTAATTAAAGTCTCTTATTAACCCCTGGATACGGCCCGTCTGGTTTATTTTTCTGTCTAAACTTCATCTGATGGCTACAATGCCACAGCAGCTTATGTTAACATAAGTAAAGCATGTAGCCTTCTATGAGAAGTTAGGCTGTAAGAGGGGCGGAGGCAGCAGAGGAACTGTCTCCCGTCTGTATTAATTAAAAAGGGTCCAACTGCTTCCTGCAAACTCATTCAAAGACACGCCCACATGGCACCATATGTCACATGACTAAAGAGTGGCTGAGCGAGGAAGCAAATAGCTGCACATAGATCTGCTCGAACTAATCTGCAACACCAAATGAGCACAAATAATCATGGACAAATCTGCAAACGCACAAAATGTTAATTTGAAAAGCATCTGCATAACAATCATTTGTTTAGCTAACATAACAATTGTTACAACTTAAGCATGATTAATATTAATATGTTTAGGCAACTCAATACACTTTAAAATTTCAGAAAGACTGTGTGGTATGAGTTCAAATGACGCTGGCTTAAAGCATGACTTCTGTTCACTCATTATCCATCATGACCACCTTGACCGCGACTACATTTCCCTCTAAAACATATTTGGCAAAAATCATCGAGAGAACACATGGAACTTGCATTTGGCAGCTCTAATTTTTGAGATTACTTCAGTTTAAAAAAACACTTCCCTTTCACTGTGGACATCTGAGGAAATAAAAGTTTCTCTTCCACTCTCTCTGGTGACTAAAGACTAAAAGAAAGTAAAGAAATGCTGAGATGAAATAAAAATACAGGGTATGAAATATGCAAAATGCCGCACTTACGTCATGTTGGCTCATTCCAAATCCATACTTTTGTAAATATCCAAATCCCTTTGTGTTTAAATGTGCCTGGTTCTCATCTGCAAACTTCATTTGATCCAGAGGGTGCAAAGTATGGCAACATGAGTGTTTCAGTGTCTTCTTCCATTGAAGAAAGGAATTCACCAGGTTGCTTTCCAGACACTCAGGGAAGATGTTGTTTGGAGCTCCAACTATTGGCAAACAAACTCATTCAGGTGTCATTCTGTCTAAAACACCCATGTTGTTGTCCCGTCTCTGAGTTAAACCATCCAGACAAATGACTCTCTTCACACTGAGGTGTTGCTCCACTGAAGTTAGAACAGTAAAATGTTTTTGCTCAGCAGGACTTTGGCGTCATCTCATCATGCTGCTGATGTTGCAGGTTTTCTGTCATCTCAGAGGCTGCATCACTTGTCTTCCTTTGTGTCTCCAATATTTAGGGGCAAATTCAATAACCAGAGACAGCATTAAGAAAAGAAAGTTAAATCAGAGATGATTTGACCCATACACACAATCCAATGATTGAAGGAGAAGTCCTTTCCTTGGAAAAAGCAAAAATGATCAGCACACACCTGTTGGCTGGCCCAGTCAACCCCATTAAACTTTTGCAGGGGGAAAAAAAAAGACTAAGAGGTGTGAGAGGCTGTTAGTCATAACAGAGAGGAAGAGGTTGATGGAGCGAACAGAGAAAGAGAGGTGAAGGATGGAGAGTTGAAGAGTCGAGCATCCTGCCGTCTCTCAGCCAGGAGGATGAATGGAAAGCCTGCCTCTCTGCCTCCTTTTATATTCTCTCTTCCCCTGCTGCCTCGCTTTGGCTTTTACCCTGGTTTCAATGTGTGTGTGTGTGCATGTGTGCGTATGTGTGTGTGCAGAGAGAGACCTCTTTCAGAGCAGCAGGAATATATTATAACCCAAACAAAAGGAGCCGGCTTATTGTTTATGAATTACTAGCCTTCCAAAGCCAACAAAGGCCCCTATTTTCATAGAAAACTCCATTTTCATTTCAGCTCCATTTGATTACCAGAGCAAAGACAATAAAAAGGCCTCTCTGGGCGCAACGTCCCAAAGGGATTCATTCCTCCTCTCGCTCATTCAACGCCACTGAAAAGGTTTCTTTATTGCTTTCTTTTCAGGGCCGACGTCAAATGGGCTTTTAGGAGTAAACCAATGACAAAAAAACTATTGCTTGGCTATTTTGTACAATAACAGGGCCGGGGGAAGAGAGGAGTCCTGTGTTGTCTTTGTCATCTTTCTTTCTCTTTTCTTTTGCTCCTTTCTGCTATTGGAGAGGAAAATTGCAGAGGCTGAAAATTCATGGCAAGGCTTTGAAGGGAAAGAGAGGGAGAAAGACGAGGGAGCCACAAAGCAACAATACAAGTCAAATCTAAATTATCACTAGCTATTGAACACAGTGAGGTGACAGAAAGGTACTGTACGACTCCAGAGGAGTTTAGTGTGTTTGTGTGTTGTGAGAGTACCTTTCACACACCTGTTGGGCTCATGGCCAAAAACAATACAACCCCAGTAACTCACTGTCATTTAATCTACAATGAGGCTGTCAATAGTGTGTGTCTAGTTCACTGTTCTGCAGACCTCTAGGTGTGTGTAGAGATGCTGGTAGAATTAATGATTGCTTCTCAGATCCTGGCTCTGATTTGTGTGAGTGCTTTAAAGGGACAAAAATCAAAAATACATGTTTTACCTCTTACATGTAGCTGTATTTATTAGTCTAGATTGTTTTTGTGTGAGTTGGAGACGTAGAGATGTCTGCTTTTGCTCACATATAGCCTAATGGAACTAGATGGCACTCAGCTTGTGGTGCTCAAAGCGCTAAAACAATACATTTGAAACATGTCTCTTTCCAGAAATCGTGACCCAGTTACTCAAGATAACCAACAGACGTATTTGTGAGCAGTTTCATGTAGGAACTATTTTCTTTCCATTACACCCACCAACTGAAGCATCACGCAGAAGGAAGCGTGCATCTACTCATGGACAAGAGGCTCATGCTCATGACAGTGCAAGATGTAAAAATTAATGTTGTCCATTAACTGTAAGCAACTGTAAGCCTTGGAAATAATGAAGTTCATTATTTATTCTTCTAGGTATTACAGATAAATGATTAAGTAATAAGTTACTTGGTTTTGGGGGATGAAGAGATAACCTCCCTTCCAGCAGGCCAGGTGCTAGCCTAGATCCCACAACACTTTCCAACTATGCAAACATTTCTCGGATTTTTGAAAGAAAAAAAAAGTTGAATTTATAAACAATAAAACAAATCCTTGTTGAAATTAGTTCACTCAGGAGTTTGGGTGCTACAGTACGTTATGATTATGGTACAGACATAGCTGTGTAACTGGTGCGAGTTTTAGTATCACAAAACCAGATGTACCAGAAGGAGGGACGATAAAGTGTTTGATATGAAGCTGAAAAGCCTTAACCACACATCCAATTGGTGCACCACTGCATATGTATTACATGAGTGGCCTGTAAAATATGGGGGAAAATACTATTATTCTTAAAAGGAAAGAGATGAATAGCGTCAGCACACACTGACTGCAGAAGATGCTCTTTCATCTTTTGCTTTGCCTCCTGTTTTTGTCCTCCTGGATGAATATTTGGCTCGAGACAAAAGGTGAACCAATCAATTATTCCTCTTGCAGGGCCCTGGTGCTGTTGTGAAAAGCGTTGACATTTGAGCTTTCCAGACGACATCTGCAAATTTATATGCCTTCCATTGTGCGAGGCAGCCAGCCCTGTATCAAAGGCTGTAAAAGGCCTTGTCAATTTAGTAAGGACAACTCCACAAAGACTCCTTTCTCCTCTGTTGTTATGGGAATAATGCTTTTCACTGGTGTCCTGCCAAAACCTGTTGGCAATTTCGCCATGTGATGTTATTGATTGCATTGATAACAGACATCTAACATGGAAGCTATCAAACTGTCAGTGATGCATTGTGAAACATCACAAATGAATGCGTGGTGATCAGATCCAAGAATAAACTTCTTTATGGAGGCTTTACAATGAATACATGTGTACAATAGGCGTCTCACCTTTAACATACTGTACCTGACTGAAACCACTGGTAATTACTGTCAAATTAAAATATCCACTTTCTGTCTTGGTGTCCTGCACACTGACATCAATAGTCTGCAGTATGGCCTTGACAAAAACCTTTATGATGTGAATTTAAAATGGTACGTCGTCACTATTCCCGTACCTAAATGTCACCGTACAGCCATACAGCCTCCATAAATCAGTCACTTGCAAGTTGAGTCTCAGCGGCTTAAAGTTTTATATATTCCTGTTCATATTTTCATTTCAAACAGACAGAAGTCTCACTGTTTACTGTGTCACTTTTCAACAGCTACAAGAACTGCACACAATAAAGATATAGACATATTCTGTGATACTTGGCCAGTGGATCCGTTTCAAAAATTGCAGGGAAGAACAGTGCAAGGAGACACAACAACAGCAACCAGTAAGATAAAGAGCTGCAGAAGACTTCAGCAAAGTATACAACACCTTTTACCTTGCTGTTCACACCTATTCCGACCATGCAAAACAACTCTAACATATCTAAAGTTCCCTCTTTTCCTCAGCTCCTTCTACTTATATCAGATAACACCGTTTTCACACAGGCAGGAAAACAGAGAGAGCTGAAGAAAACATGAAAATGTTAAGAGCATTTTCACCAATATGACAAGGCATGCATAGCATTAAGAAATAAAATTCTAATTATTCAGTACCGCATACACAGAAAAACAAAAGCATAGCAAGTTGTAACATCACAATGTCACTGATTGCGACACCACAGCTGATTCCAGGATATTTAAACTGATCAAAATGCTATTAAATAGTAAAAGGCTAATTTGAGGTGTTTTGCCAAACTGCTCAAGTACATTTTGTGGATTGTGTTTTATCACCTGGTAGTGGTTCTAGCTCATCTAATCCACAGGGGGCAGACTCAGGCCACTTAAAATAACTGATATAAAGGCCTCTTTTTAGCAGAACTTTCATACAAGGTGATGATATTCACATCAAATATAATGCACATATCAAAGATAGGCTACATGACTTAAACATGTTTGTATGATTTCTCAAACAATAGAAATATATGCAGTGCTACGAAGCTGCAGGTACACATCAATACTGGGGAAACATCCACAGGTCTAAAACCTTTTGTTCACATCAAAAAGTATCAATGCATGTATCAAATACGTGACTTACACACTGTTATCTGTCTGCATGGTACACAACGTATGACTTATAAAGCCTATAGAGTTACTTAGCTCAATACACATAATGCAGCAAAGCTTAAATACAAAGCAATTCCCACATAGGTCCATTCACATATTAGACACCATCAATAGGTGACTGACTGATTAAACAACCAAATAATGCAAAACTAGAGAGATGTCACATCATTCAAAGCCTCTGCAGACAGCAGCAACAACACAACACCTTCAGACAAACAGCCCCAATAACCTTCATAACATCAGCAAGTACACTGCAAGGAGTTAAACACACACAGGAGGCAGCCACAGCGGGACATTTAAACATCAGGAAATAAAGCAAAGAGACAAACACAGACAGACAGAGAGACAGACAGAGTGTATGTGGCTTACATTTGTTGTTCAAGTCCATTCATCTTTCTGTCATGGAGATGAAGTAGACACTGATGTACAACTGCACTTGCTGCTTTGACAGTCTCTGTTTATTTGTTTGTTTGTTAACAGAAGTCTTCTTCCTCTTGACAGTCTGTTATTTGTTTGTTTGTTGACAGAAGTCTTCTTCCTCTTGACAGTCATTTTGTTTGTTTGTTTGTTTGTTTGTTGACAGAGTCCTCTTCCGCTTTGACAGTCAATTTCTTCGTTGACAGTCTTCGTTTCCTTTCTCTGTGGCTGCTGCATGTAGCTAGCTTAGCATGTTAGCCGATATCATTAGCAACACTGGAAAACTAGCTAACGTTACGGCTACCTGGAAGCTAACTGTTGCTTCATTTAAAGTAACTTATGTTGTTAACTTTATGCTGTTTGTACTGTAAAATGCTATTTTTATGAAGTTTATTTACCGGGAACGTGTCCGTTAAGGTGCTAAGGTGTCCTTACAGAGGCCGCTTTGAACTGTTTGATACTTCACTGTATTTTAATTGAGAGGCAACTTTCACCTGCCGTTGATTTCTGTTAGGGTGTAAATACCACACTTTGGCCACTGACACATGGGGGCGCTGTTTGACTCGGTAAAAGATGGGAAAGTATTAAAATATAAAAGAAAAGTATTATGTCAAAAAAAATTGCATATTGAGTGACACTATAGTTGAATTAAATTAGACTTAAAGTATCGTCTTAAATCCTTAAGAATTCATAACTGTTTAAGCACCGTAGCTGAGTTGTACAAGTTTGTCACTGTGGTGATTTTCCCCTCATCTATAGTTTGATCCAATCAGCCTGCAAAACACCTGAGATCAAGTCCATATGTAACTATGTATAAATGTAACATGTATATTGAGTTTAAATACATTTTAAAATATCCATCAAAATTCATATGATCAGGTAGGCTCTGTACGTTTTACCATCACTGAGAGTTATGTGTTGCTTCATTGCGACTGTTTGTATATAGACTATTATTTTTCTTTTCTTTTTGAGTTTATTAAACATTTGTAGTCATCACACAAGATAAATGATCTGTGAATGTGTAGCATCTCTGCACGGGGAGGAGGCATAATCA